CCGGCCTCAAGTGATGGAACTTTTTCCTTTTTCCCAGGGAGTCCGTCTATCTGTCTGTGTGGCATATGATGCGAGTTTTGGTCGGCGTGACGAGAGGAATCTGTTTTAGGTTGGATAAAACAACCGCAGTACGAAAATGTTGACATCGAAACAAACATTGAGGGCAAGATAGAAGACAGCAGGTCACCTGGGTCCCAACCACTGACGACGTTACCCACCCGACGTTCGCACAGATGATAACCGCACTTTAATTTTGTAGGAAACGGTTTGGGGGTAATGAATGGGAACCCGGACGATTTGAGTGGGAACGGTAATTCCAATTGACAGCGGGAAAATATCTGCGGATAAATTTCCGACGACCGCCAGCTGTGGTGTGTTCAACGACATATGAACGGGAATGGTACGTGCGCGTGCTGCAGTCTGAGAGAGGGAGACTACACCTAGACTAGACTAGTCTGACTGGTGGAAAACGTGCGGCTAGCCTGTAGCCACGGGCTTGATTGAACGAACTAAGCGATGTATAAGATATAGCGAACACCTCTCACATGTATATGGTATTGTCTTCGTTACATGTAGCATGTGCAACGGAATATGTATTGTATGTCTTGTGTGTCATCTCTCGCGCAGGGCCAGAACCGAGATCATAGAGGTGATTTGGCTGCAGTCTGGTAGCCTGCGACCCTCAAGCTCTCGCAAGCATGGTCTCGGTATTTTATTTCCAATGCGTGGACTAAGGTTCGGAAAACACAAAGAGAGAGGAAGCGTAGAACTGGTTGAACTCAAACCGAAAGGCAATGGTTGACGACAGCCGGGGAAAGAGAGAGAGAGAGAGAGAGAGAGAGAGAGAGAGAGAGAGAGAGAGACAAAGACAGAGACAAGGGCGGCGCACAATACGGAACGGGTGGGGTGATCGAAAGCAAGGGCAACATGATGGATCTATTCTTACGGAAACTCGTGGATATCTGCGGCATGTTTGCGTTTGATAATATACGCCACAGAGACTTGATGAGACGTGTCATGTCGGACCGCATCGGACCGTGCGAGCGACAGACATCCCCAGCGCGCGACTGAGAAACACGGCGCGACTGAGCGATTCATGGGCAAGGCAGTCGGCAGTTACTTTTCTTGCACTTCAGTGCGTTAGTCGGAATTTGATTCCTTTCCTGTGCCCATTTTCTCGCAAGACGAGGAAGCGTTTGAGTACGGATGAGGGGAAAACGACAGTCAGTGAAGAACTGCTGTTGTAGGGGCAGTAACGAATCAACCGGTATGTGTACCTGCGGTCTACAGCAGTAGTCGGGAGGGAGACTATAATAATACTTTATCCGTGTGCGTGTTTGCTTCGCTGGCTGCCCTTTTGATACTGGTTCTTATCGGGACGCGTCTGTCAATAGTTTAGCCGCTTCCATGGGCGTAGGGCTTGAGAGAGGGCTTGAGAGAGGGCTTGAGAGAGGGCTCCATGGCTCCATCATCATCTGTCCTCTTTCCTCACAGCCTGCAACTTGATCTTCCTTCCAAGAGATTTATTCTATCGAACTATCCTCGTTCCTGATGGCGACGGCAAGTAGTAGTAGAGCCAGAAGTAGCAAGTCGAAAACCCGTGGGGGTAAAACCGAACGAGATACTGCAGTTCTGCCTGTGGTTGGTGCTATGTATCGTTTTTCCCGCGGGATGATTCTTCACATAGCAGAGTGGGATTACCTGGGATGGACAATTATATATACAACACCCCCTCAACAACAACAATCTGTGTGGGACTGTGCTCTGGGAAGATACTTTTACGTAGACCCTCACAAAGTTGCTTAATCTCCGCCCACACCCTCCCCCGTATATAGGTGTCCCGGACGCGAGTTCCGGGGAATTCGCGCACCAGCAGAAGTCTGGCGCCAAGTCGGACTGTGGACGTAACCCTCCGCTGCACTATGCGCGCCAACACCAATGCCGCCATACTGGCACTCGCCAACGGCCTGCAGTACGAAGTGACAAAGTACAACCACAGCACCAGGACGCACGAGGTTGTCTAGGTCAGCCCCGGTCTGCTTGCGTTCGGATGTTGCAATGGCTCGGCCCTAGCCTTGGCCACGATCGCGTGCCTACAGACATCAAAGCAAAGGCAGCCAGTCGCCAGGCCAGCTAAAGGTGCAGTTCCCGGGCTCGGCAGTATGGGCGGCGACTCTGTTCGAAGACGGGGACGTGTGCAACGTCGCTGGGACCTGGACGGATCGTGTGGCGTCAGGACATCTCCGACCCGACGAAGAAACTTTGTCTAGGGCTTTCGAGACGTACTACGGATGCAGGAGGGAAGAGCCGTGCGAGAACCTACGATGTCCCTCGTGCTGGGACGATGGTCATGCCTCAGCGCTCGAAGTCAACCAGATCGCGTGTTCTACATATATACGCGTCCCCCTCGTGGCCAGTTGCGGACAGGGTTGCTTGAAGGGCGGCGATGCCAAAACCGCGGACAGACCCGGGCCGCGCGATGACTGGGCCTTGGGGGGCGGAGGTGGTGATAATGTTGAGGTATACAACGGGCCACCGCCACCACCTGACGTTGGAACTGTTGCAACGGACCAATTGACATTGGTCAAGATCCTCTACTTCCTGCACGAGGGGAACCCTCGTTCCTTGAGCGGGGAGCCGCCTCCGCTTACCTGGTGGGTGCTCGGGTACGAGTATGTGGGGGTTGGTGGAGGAAACGAACGTGTGCCCGATTCCATCACGGGGCACCCAACCTTGCTCCTGCGTGGTCGGGGGTTTCCGTTGGTCTTCCCCGTGGACGCCATCCGACGCCAAGTGCACATCTATCACCAATGCCCTAGGAGAGGAGATGTCGATCCGGGAGAGGCTTTTGTTTGCGAACAAACCCAAGGGGAGGGTCGCAACACGCGCGCTTGGCACCACAGATTCAGGCTGGCACATCCGGGCTCTCACAACGGCTACGATAGGTACCTTTTAAACGAGGTTCACCACAGCGTCAACCAGGACACTTTTGTTTGAGGTGGGAATGGATCTATATGCTTCTCAACATTCGGATGTTGGGCCGGGACGCGGCCAAATAAGGCCCTCATTGTACGAGCCACGTATTAATTTTTCGTCGACGTAGAAATTGTACGGGCCGTATACTTGTACGAGTACACGTCGCCACCGCAGAGCTTGTAGATGTTGTTTTGTCGTCTTCCTTTTTGACAACGACTCGTTTCGTCCTGTATGCATTGACGTCACAGGATCGACGGTTCTGATGGACCCGACGTGGCGGAGACAAACCCCGAGGGAGACAAACCCCGAGGGAAAGGATAAATAGTGCCCTCGGCCTCATGCTCATCATCGACAAAGTAGCACCACATGTTTGGGTTGTATGTTGTATATTCGCGCGTTGTACGGACCGTTGTTTTAGTTTGCGCCAAGTGTCGTTCATCGAAGCTTTTTTGCGTATCCTTGCGTGCTGCACACTTTGTATTTAGCAGATTAAACCGCGGTAACCGTGTGACATCTGAACTACTATACCTCTTGTTGGGGAATTTCATTGGTGTCCGTGTTGGTGTCTGTTCAAAATGTTTTCCTTTTTCTTTGGTGGATATATTGCATAAATGGAACGACACCTTTCGGAAAGCTCTTGACGAGACGGCTTCTTCAACGCCGCCGTTTTCGGCGCTGCCACTAATTCTGTTTTGCGAAGAAAAATCGAGCTCTGAAAAGCGGTTCAGGGGACACGTGGTATCTTGTGTCACCTCCGGTACGTGCTGCGGATCTTTTTCTTTTTTTTCCGTACTCGTAGACTGCCTCTGGAAATCAAAACACATCGTACTCCGGAGTATGCATATTCTGATACCATATTTAGTATAATACGAACACATATCGTCGGGTGAGGACTCTTCAATGGTGGTGCCTCTTTTGGCACTCTAAATACATGCCAGGTAGCACAGGGTATAGGCAATGCACCCCTGACCAGGGTGGCCTCTCCACAAGGTCTCCGGTACGGCGACCTTGTAGAACAACAGTCCCCGGCAGGGTCTCGACAGGGTCTGGACAGGGTGTGTACAGGGTGTTGGTCCCGCAGGGTACGCAAAAGGCGGAGCAAAGTGGCTACGTGTGTGTACATGTACAGCAGTAGTTTTGCTCATCTCCGCCTAAACATCTCAGCCAACTCACCCTCCCGGTCATCCGACCGTAGGGCAAGGCTGGGAATGCCACCAGCTTCCCGACATGCTCTACTGGAGCAAATACACAGCAGTTGCTTTGCCATCGGAGGAGGTTGGTTGTGCTGTACACCGGAGTATGCCGGTATAGACTATTGTGTATGCCTTGTTTGAAGTTTGGTGATTTTATCAAAGAGCCAACTTTTGTTTCGCGAACCGGCACCTCTAGAGACCGCTGAAATAGCATGCGACTGGGTCGTCCTCGGATCAGGCCGAAAAATTAGTAGCTCAGATGGCCAGTGTTGCTTTGTTCTGACTCCTACAATGCCGAGTGATTCTTTGATATTCTCCTCGTTGGTGTCTACAGGTGTTGCTTATGCGCAATGGTGTTTGCGCAGATATTGGAAACTGGTTGGGAGTTGAGGGCGGCATGCACAGTGAATGGGACAAGAATCATGCTATATATATACTCACAGGATGTTGCACCACATTAGACTTGATTCTAGAGTGGACCCACGTGGATGCTTTTTTTTTTCGCCACGCGATCCCACGCGACGTGCCACACGTGAATCTGCGAAGAAATTGCTCTTCCTTCTAATGAGTGAGGTGGTACCCGTGGAAGAACTCAGCTGTTCCAGGCAGCAGTACGAACGTTAACAGAAATGTTGGATTGCGATCATCCGATGCTTCGGCGTTCCCCCTGTCTGTTTCTCTTCATTTATCCTGTCGTCTACAACACCAAAATCCTATGCAGAGAGACGCGGACCACTGCTTCTTGCTGTAGACAACAAAGAGCGCATGTGGATGTAAGTTCCCACCTTCCCGACTTCGGCGGTGTTGGAAACATTGCATCCGGCTTCCTTCGTACGTTCCACATTCCACATGCGCTTCTGCCGACATAGACTACATGCTGCAAGCAACATGCATCCTGCAACATAACCAACATTCTACGCCACTGCTGTACAATAAACGCGGCTCCTTGTGTCCATACATGAGCACCCTGTCAAGCTGTCTTATCCTACGTGCGTCTTGTGATCCACAGCAACGGCGGATACGTGGTAGGCAGCAGAGAAACCACAGGCTGCGGCGGCGGCACCGGTACGGCGCGGGCGGTCTGGGACAGCGAAAGCCGCGAACAATAGAAAAAGAAGGAGAATCGATGGTGCTTCCGACGAGTGTCGAAGCTCGCTTTACGAGATACTAGTTCGTTCCGTAACTGGAGACGACGAGGTGAGCTGCGGCGAAAATCTCCAAGTCTTATCCCCCGTTCCCCACACCACAAAGATGCTGCAGGGGTAGTGAGGGAGGCGTCCACGACCAACAGACGATGAGGTGGGCGGCGGAGAGTCGGGCCGAGAAGCCACGGGTGATTGCAGGAGACACCGAGTATCCGAAGAAGAAAAACGTTGAACATGGAAATCTTGAGAATATCCGAAAGGGTGCACGGTTGATGCTGTTGGCGGTGATAACAGCGGAGCACCGCCATCGGCATGCCATTTTCCGCCCTACCAGACCTGCTTACAGAGGTGGAAGAACTATGTGGCCCAGCTGCTGAACTACAACAAACGTCCAGCCGGTACTCTGCTACTACTGTAGGTAAATCGAATCAGGCGCTGGTATCCTCTCAATCCCATCGACGTGGCCACTGGTCTATGCTCGAAGGCCGAACTCCGTCTTGCATTGTCATTGTGAAGGGATTCCCTCCCCTGCTCAGATTTAACTCCACCTAATGCTTTCCCTATTTTACTGGTACACTTCAAACAAAACCGTCAACACAAGCGTGTTGTTGTTGGAGCGACCCGGCGGGGCTCGGGCGCCGTACATCTCATCATTGTTCGTGATATCGGCATGCACCCAACAAAACGGTTTTGATGTATCAGACTTGATATTCGGTGTGGGTGGTGGCCCGGTGGTCGTGCATCTCAACCATCTTGGGGCTGGTCGCGATCGGCACGTGGGGGATGTTGCTGCTGGCCACCCCGGGGCACTCCGTCTGTATCTGCTGCCACGCCCCTGAGAGGTCATCGTACATCTGGCTGTGGTTGTTGGCGAACGCCTCAGGGTCCTGAGCGGCGGAACGAACAAACCAAGGACGGCGCGTAGACAACCACATGGAATCAGTCAAACGTTGGGTTTCGAATCTTTCACTATTGGAAAACGACGAGGCGTGGTTATTTCAAGTATGCAGTCCGACTTGAAGCGAACGCGAGACAAAGAAGAACAACGAAAGCACGGTTCGCTTCATCTATTCATCGTCTTGCAGCCCAAAGACATTTCTTGAGGTTTTCGGGAAGGATTCACAAATCGGTATAAAGTCTCACATGCGTACGTACATAGGTGCATACGTTCACCCCCCACCTGTACGAAGCAGACGAAGACGGCCTTGTGGCCCGAGCGCAAGACGGACATGGTGGTCGAGAAGCACACCGCCACCGGCACGAAGACAAACACCACGACAACGAACATGATGAGGCCGTCCAAGCTGCCGGAGAACTGCACGCCCGTCAACATCACCATACTCGAGCACACCACGACCAGGTAGGTAGACATCAGGCCCATGGTGAGCAGGAACAGCCCGACACTGACAATGCCGTCGTTGGCGATCATTGTTATCCCGCGCCTCTGGAACAGCTCGTGCACTCGTCGAAGGGCTGCTTGCAAAGGAAGAGTTCCGGCGTCGGGACGGTGGACGAACGCTCAGTAGCCGTTCAAACAGTGCACAGATGTTACTGAATGCCAGATATTCATGGCTGGTTGTATGGGGAAGAGGCGCAGGTCAGACGAGTTAAGCGCGGATTAACAGCGCATGAGCCACCCTTCACGAGGCAATGATGAAATCTTTAGCAATCGAAATCGAACCATTAGACCAGTCAGCGAATACAACTGGGTCTGGTTTCGCATATGGTCTCAGCCTGTTCGGTAAAGATGAACGGGTGCCGCATTGGCTCCCCGCACCGTGCAATGCTCCGTCTGCAAACGAAAGCCAACTATCTACCGCTTCGAGGGGGCCGGGGGAGACTTGGCCCTCAGCCTCAGACATGACATGACTTGTAATCCAAGTGTTCTGTGCTCCACGTGGGACGACACTCCGAACCACGAGTGTGAGCCGTGTCACGCCTATAGGCAACGCATGGGCAGCCCGTGAAGTGCCTTTGGGCAGCCCATCGGAATGGCTGCCCATGGGCTGATAGTCAAAACTCCCAGTAGTGCGGGAGATTGGGTGCGCCCCCGCACCTTCCGAGAAGCCCAAGCCGTAGATGCCGATGAAGCAGATGGCGTAGGCGGAAGCGTAGCCGACAGCATCCCGAAACCTGCGGAGGAAACACCTGAGGCAGAGAGCGTGGGAGACCAGGCGAAGGGGGAACATGGCCACCCGTATCACGGCCACGATCGCAGCAGCCTTGCACAACGACCTGGACCAAACGTGCGAGAGAAAATGCCGTGAGAGGTTAGGGCGGTCCGGCCTCACGCAAGGCGGTGCACGTGACGGGAACGGGAAGGGTAGCCCGGGAATGAATGAATGGATGGCGTTTGAAGCCTCTGCAAGTGGAAATGTCTATTTTCAGCGACACACTGTCCAGTCGAGGCAAAGGACCGTGAGGGAAAAAATTCAACGAGCCAGCCGCCGGTAGTACGCCCGACCGAACGTGCATACTATCTCCGAGCAAGGGCGAAAGCCTCGCGATAGGCTCCGCGATCAGTTATGGCTCCGCGATCAGCTATGAAGCTACGCCACGTTACAGCCGCAAGCAATCTGTCCTTGTCGGCGGCACCCTCGACTGCCGTTCGATCGGTGATGATATTTCTAATACCAGACGTAGAAACAGAGTTCGGAATGCGCCTCAGATCCTTCTTTGCGGAAGGACAAGATGATAGTAACCGTGTGCACGCGGCATTGTGAGCGTAGTCATGAGAGCCACCGTGAAGTTGTTTTGAGTACCTTTGGGGGGGCCATTTTTTTTTTTTTCAATCCTTCGTGTTTCGGATGGTATACACTGCAAGAGAGTGTTCCTCATTTCACGGAATCGCGGTTCGAAACAAACCACGGCCCGTGAAGTGAGTTGCGGTGATAACGGGAATAATACCGTTCCGGGAGAGAGGCGCGCCGGTGTCAGCATGAGAGCGAGAGTGACCCTCTCAAAATACGGGTGAACACAACATCACTCGCAGATTACCAAGAACAAAACAACGACGACCTCCCGTCACGCAGACAACAAGTCTAGATCTCACGATCCCTTCTTCGTCAACCCCGGCCAAGCGGCCGCGTCACCACCACGCCCACCGTGTCTCTCACCCGAACGAGCTGTGTGTGGCGCGGTAGAAGGCACCGCGCACGGAGCTCGTGTCTCCCGGGGAGAACCACCAAGAGGCCACGGAACCGGCTACCGTAGCCGTCACGACGTTGCGCAGGACGGCGATTACCCAGGTGACGCTCCCCAGCCAGAAGGCCGCGAGCACCCAGCGCGGGAAACCGCCACTGAATTCGCACCCAGAGTCGCTAGAGATAACCTCGCCGCCGCAGTGGCACGAGAGGCCCGAACCGGCAGTAGTTTCGCCGCCGCCGTAGGGCGAGGAGGGGACGGTAATGTCCTGGGGAGAGGAAAGTACGAGGGCGTTGGTAAAGGTTATTTCGTATTGTGAAAAATGTCTCTCGCGCTCCAGCGGTAGCGGTCGAGGAGGAGCTTCAAATAAGAAAATTGCGCCGCAATGTTTTCACCCCGACGATTTCTTTTTTCAAGTAGCCCGCAGCTTGCCCTGGGGGTGGGGGGGGGGACAAGAAGACCACCCCCCGCAAACGATCGATTGAACATAAATAACTGGTGGTTGCAATACGTGATTCAACACGAAACCCCCATTAAGTCGTCCCCACCACTCGACGAATATCCGAAAAAATATTACAAAACGAAATTCGACGCGAAACCCCGAGACTATACAGTCGAAGGCGGGTAATAGGCGGGTGCCCTATGTAAGGCGTGCAAAAATGGCGGGCGCCGACGGAAGAATCAAGTTGCTCTTCACTTTGGATAAGGCAGGTGAATCGGTCTGGTGCATACCCGCCTTATAGAGGGCCTACGACTGCATTGCAATCCCCACCACCTGACAAACAATCCAAAAACATCGATCGTTTCGACACCAACAATCTCTATAAATTGTCGTTCCCCGGTCCGTTCTCCGACGCCGGATAGACTCTACCTGACACTCCAGGGACGAGTAGGTGGTGCCGTCGGCACCGACGACCACGGGCGAAAATGCGGCGAAGGAGCCCCCCGCAGCCGAGGCCGAGAGCATGGACCAGACCACCTGGACGGCGCTCATGAAGAGGGCCAAGCGGATCGTCCCAGGCATGGACCTCACCGCAAGGGCGGCCACCTAATAATATCGTCATGGTTATTGTTGTTGTCGTCCAAGAGGAAAAGCAGTGTTGTGTGTGGTGGAAAAAGTGATGTGTCACAGAGAGGGAGGTGTTGTGGGCAATTCGTGTGTGAGAGTGGTACAAGCAGCCTGGGAAGGCAAAACCACGGAGAGATAGATCACTCCACCTACATCGGGGGTTTCATATTGTCTGCAGATACTATGAATTCCGTGCAGGAGACACGAAGCGTATTGACTCCAGATTGATTTTCTGACGAGACCACCAAAAGCAATAACGCAGATGTCACAACTCTCTCTTGGAAACACACAACCTGCACTATTGTTGTACGTCCCCACACCAACCTTGAGATTGGCCGCGCCGAAACGAAGGCGGCTCTGGTTCTTCCAGAACACCCAGGCGACGATGGCGCACACAAGGGCGCACACTACCGCAATGACCGTGATGCCATTCCACAGTGCAGCTGCCGCTGCCACGCCCCAGACACCCGCAAAGCCCACGTAAGCGGCCTGCGCACATGTATACATGGCACGGAAAAAACACGAAAAAGAGCGGATCAGGAGAGAAACGAGGCATTGTTGCTCGGAGGGGAGCGTACTAATGTGTCGCATGCCTTAACAGTTGGACGATTGAGCACGAGTCCTCGAGGGGACGGAGCTTTTTCCCAGGACCAATCACTGATGTCCAATCGTTCCTTCCTACTGTCCCAAAGGTGGAGGGCGGAGAGACATTGAAACCCATAAACGTTTTTCCACTTCGGTGAGACGCTGAATGAATCAATCGGTCGGTGACTCCCGGGACGTGAACGACGAGAGAAGGGGTCGTCGACTGTGAATCAAGCTGTAGTCAAGTTCAGGAAAAACCAAACTGTCGGCATCGCGATATGGAGGCAGACACCATGGAAAAAAAAAATCGTATTGCTGCTGTTCACACAAATAAAACGTAGTCATCTGATCGATCCATGGACCTGGTTGTTTCAGCAGCACAAAAAACAGAAACGCACCCTACAGGTGTGCAAACGCCACGGGATGTCCGCCCTGACCCACAAGTGTTAGATGAGGAAGAAAGGGCCCCGAGTTGAAACAACGGACAAATGAAACACCAAAAGGAAACCGTATCCGTGATGCGGACAAAGGAGTCAACAGCTAGGCAGATGACAAGGCGCGACGACAACACATGAAAGGCACCAGAAGAAGGGACGCCCCGTGAGAAACTTACCTGAAGCATGCGCTTGGGGCAGCTAGCAAGAGAGTACAGCGCCATGCAAGCGACGCCCCACCCCACTGCGATCATCGCCACCACCATCAGCAGTGGCGCGAGCAACGATCCGGCGGCGCTATCGCCCGACAGGCGCCGATGATGCGCGTTCACCGCCTTTGCGCCCTCAGCCTTGAAGAATATCGCCTGACCCCGGAAGAAGACGGTTGAAAAGACGAGATGGCCGAGAGGGGCTCCGTGTTGCATTTCATGGCCTGTGCATCATCCTTATCACGCCTCCACAGAAAACGTGGAGGGCGTTTGTTTTGGGCTTCCAGGTGTGAAGGTAGTGGCCGCACCTGTCGTGAATAGTTCACAACTCGACGTCCGAACGATTGGGGCAATCCACCTTCTCTCTAGACTACCCCACGAGGTGGTGGCATTGCCACTTTGACAACCTCACGCGCACCGAACGCTGTGTCCGAACAAACGGTAGGCAACAGGGGCTACTGCTTAGTAGAGAACACGTGCAAGTAACAGAGTGACAGAAGAAGCGGCTGCCACGGCCATGACAGATATCATGGTACCTACCGTATCACTATTTCGTGGTACGGTTAAAGAGAAAAACCGGGTTGGAAAGTACTTTGAGCTCATCGTGACCCTCTCGTAAACCATAGCCGCTAATTTACGTATGTCCTTGACGGGTCTCTGGATGGGGCATGAGGGGTCGAACTGGAGCTTGGCATACCGTTGTGAGAGTTTTCCTCTCATGGCACAGTCGCCGGAACCATTTCCAGCACGAGTGGCAGGGAGAGTGGGTCGAGACGAAAGAATGAAGGAGACTCAAAAAAACGATGCGGTCATGACAAACTCGGGTGAACTTTGGAGGGTCGACTCCTGTAAGTACATAAATAAATATATATTTCACTAACTATTTTCGGTGCATACGTTCACACACAGAATGCACACAAGCGTAAGTCCTCTCGTAAGCTTCTGGAGAGATGTGTTCACCCACCCGCTGCTTGGCGTCGAACGAGGTTATTCTCTTGCTCAGTCAACATATACAGAGTAGATTGGTCGTGACAGCACCAGCAGGTTCATTCTGTGTCTGACTTACGGACAGGACGGTGATGCACACGTTAACCCAGAAGGCGATAGCCCAAGCCCTGTCCATCGGGGCCGCCGGGTGAGTGGTGCCCCTGGTTACGGTGTTGGTGTTGTTGAAGGATAAGACGGGGGGGGCGGGGGAATAGAGGGCCGGGGGGAATTCAGGTCTTGTTCGGCTCGGTCACAGTTCTCATAATGCTGCAGGATAAGGTTATTCGATAACGTTACACCATTAGACCAGTCAGCGCTGACTGGTGCTGACTGGTCTAATGGTGTAACTTCATCGAATAAAAGATATGCGCTCAGCTCATTAGCACCCGGCTGGATCACATGGGTCTTACGGCTCTTAATCACTGGAATTGAGAGTAGGGATCTCCTGGGACGGACCCCACGCCAGGCGCTGCCGGAAAAAGAACTTAATGGTGCTTCGAGAGTGATCCAGCGGGATGTGAACCCGTGCGTGAATCCTTTGTTACATAAAGTTACACCTTGGTTTAACATTTGGCGTGTTAAGAATACACGCACGGGTTCGAATCCCGGCTGGTCACTTTCCCAAGCACCATTCTGTCTTTATCCGGCAGCGTCTGGCGAGGGGTCCGTCCCCGGAGATCCCTACTCTTAATCCCAGTGATTAAAGCCGTGAACCCACAAGTGATGTTGGGGAGCGGGTGCTTATCATCAGAGGCTGTGGGCACAAGACCTTGTTATTAACGAGTGAACAGTAGGGCAAGAAACCCTGCACACCAGAAGGGGGTACGCCCTTCCAGTAACACATACCAACATGATACACCCCACCCCCTTGATCTCCGTAGATCCGTATCTAGTGCTGAGTACACCCAATAGTCCCCCTACTCGGTGCCAGACACGATCTACTCATCTTTTCCTCTTACCGTGGTACTTGGCCGTAATGGCACCCGCCATTTCACAGCTCCATTGCTCAACAACCAAGCTTGTGACACAACAGTGAAAATGGTGGATTTGGAACCAAATCCATGAGGGCTGTCCGAAGACGTATGGGTTGCTTTCTGCAGCCCCGTGGTTGTAGAGCAGCGAGACGGTCAAGGGGGGGTGCCATCTCTCCGCCCCTTACGGTACTACTACTTCTACGGGCAGACAAAAAAGCAAGGGTGGCAGGTGTACTCAATTGACAAATTCCTCTCCCGATGTCAGTGGTTGGCAAGACCACAGACCCCCACCGCTACGTCCTCTCGAAGACGCTGGTCTATCCGCCAAGGCATGCGAAAACACGAGAGTACGCCCCCCCCCCCCCGACCGCTTACCGTTGCGAAACGCCAAAGTCCGCGCCGTTCTCTTCGCTCGTAAGGGTGATGTCTTCCTCATCGCGGTTGCTGTCGGACAGAAATAATCCCGAGTCCGCGATTGCTGCCCTTGCAGCCCGAGCCATGCCTTCTGCTCGAGATACGTTGGCAGAGCTGATGCTGTTATCGGAAAAGTTCGGAGTTGTTTCGAAATACTACATGCGTTGAGTGCGTGTCGTATATAGAGTATCAATACAACAAGTAAAACACTATTTTATCTATCTACCGTAAACACACATCATAGACTAAGGGAGTAGGCCGTGTGGTTTTACACAATAACAGTCTGGTGTGTGCCAACATGACGTCCGACTCGAGGAGGAGCCACAAAAAAATATTAGGAAACACAAACAAAGAAAGACAGACGTCGGAACGATTTGAAAGCAACTCCCAGCAACCTCAAAGATCCAGCACGGCACCCACGAATTACAGACAGCCTAGGAAACGGTTTGGCACGCCAGGTGAAATGGACGCCCGGGGAACCCGCCGGGGAGCAGCCCTGCCGGGGCGGTGGCCTCCGGTCATCGCACAGATGAGAGGAGGAAATCAGATATGAAGTTACGTAGCTCAAAAAAGATATGCATGAAACCACAGACTTTTAGCAGTGCATCTTTTCAACGGACCTTGAACCGTTCGTCGCTCGTTCCACACAATGCTGCATGTTGTACGTAGAGAGGTACTGCCGTAGATAGAGTCTACAACACGCGTAGATGCAGAGTGCAAGTCCTCGATGACTCCGGTGTCGTGGGAACGTCGTTGAGGCGGAATCTACTCTCCAATCTCCAAACACCAGCGCAAACACAAACACGGCTGACCGCCAACCTGCCAGCTGAGCTGCGCAGAAAAAAAAAACATCTTTCAAGGTCCGCCGCCGCATGCCGAGGCAAGCCGCCCATCCCAACTACAGACAGCTGCTGTCGCCCACCATCGACGTTGGGCGCCACGACTCCGGCATTCAGATCACAACGCGCACAGAATATGTCAACAAACGGGCCCTTCTCATGTCTCTTTACCCGTCGCTACGAGATTTGGATGGCTTGTTGGGCTTCAACAACATGCCTCCGCTCACCTCTGTTTCTCTCGGTGCCTCTCGAGGCAAATGCGCACTCTCGATCCTCGGAGCAAAAGAAAAGTAAGGATTCAAAGATCGTAAGCCACGGAAAACGGTCGAGTTCTGTTGCCTTCAGGTGGTGACCATGCCCCCTACCGTGTTGTGAATGTATAATGCAGCGAAAACAATAATCGGGCGGGGGCGGGGGGCAAGCAAAGCCGCAGGGGGGGGGCACGCAACCGAGAAACCCGCTGAGAATATTCTGGCAGCCTGCATTTTCCTGGGGTTGTGAAGCTCTGACCGTATGTATTTTAGTGTTCCCGCATCTCACAAACAGCACGGCTGTACAGCAGTAGTAGTTCTCGGATAGCCCCGAGCGAGTTCCTTAGGCCGTTGGCAATGGTGTCCGGCAATGCTTCGCCCTCCGCGGGGCTGCACAAGATCCCGCTCTGCTTGGACTTGAACGCGCCCGCTGCCTTCTCCAGCTTTCTCAGAACGATGAAGAAATCACCGTGAGCCACAATGAGCCAACACAAATTTGTCATGAACATAGTGTCTAGACTACGGTACAGGTAGCGAAGACGGACTGCAAACCAGTGGGGACTCCAGGATGTGGGCAAGAAATTGAACGAGAGCCGGAAAATGCTAAATATACGAGGACAAGACCCTCTACAGTATGCATACCAGGGAAAGTCGGAAGTCTATACTCTTCTTGACTAACACGACAAGGTGGAGATTGGATATATATGCGGTGTGCGGAGGGATGAACAAGCCTACCAACCAACATAGATAGGTCGGAGCAAAGAAAGTGCTGCGATACCTTCGAGGATGCCCGGATATGCCACTAAAGGTCAGGAGCGCCTCGGACAACTGAACGGGACCTGTACAGTGCTACTTACTGTGACGCAAGCTTCGCTGGATCGAGCGAGAGACTGACTCCAGAAACGTTCTACAGGATACCTGTTCATTCTAGCAGGAGGCATCATCAGTGCAGCATCATCAAAGTGTGCGGAAGGAAGCTAACAGCTCAATCAAGTGTACATGCGGCGATCATCGCAATGGCTACAGCAGCGAGGGAAACCATTTATCTGTAAGGTGTACTATCGGAACTTGGGTTTCCATGCGGCAACATCCCGCTTCATTCGGGTTCCACGGGAGGGAGCACTGAGCACAGGAGGAACCTCTGTGTTTGGAGGCCGCAGCATGTTTGTCGGCTACTTCGCCAGAACGTCAACTAGGGAAATATTGTGCGGAATGAAGTCCGTGAGGAGTGAAGAGCAGCTGGCAGACATGCTGACCAAGCATCTGGACCGTGTTCAATTCGTCAAGCTGAGAACAATGGTTCAAGAGCATGGAGGATCTATCTACGAAATAGGAGACTTCATCCCTTCATGCGGCGGAACATAACTAACTGCAGATATGTTGACGGTTTCAGATGTACAGCAGTAGTCAATACGGACAACACGAGGAGGTTGGTGCGACGACTGCACCAACCACTACCAAGAAGGTCAAGGCAGAGACAACCTGGACAACAAAGATACCAAGAACGACAACAACAACCAATCAACAACAAGTCAGAACGAGAACGACATTTACTGACAAGACTACTACTGTAGATACCAGGACGACATCAACAACTAACTGTACTACAATCAATATGGACGCGGACATCTCGGAGACGGGATCTGGATTCATCTCCAACGACGAAAGCAACTGATTATTGTACAGATGGAATAAAACCAGCTTTGAATCTTAATGATTTTGATGAAAACGAAGTACCTAGGAAAAGAGTTTATGCAGACATTCGATGAAGACGAGAGAAAGGGAAAAAAGAGAGGCTATCGAAATAAGACTCAAAGGAAACAAACCTTACGGCACGGATTGGCAACTTATTTGCCAACAAGAAGCATCAGAATCAATCGTGTTTTGCTACATCTACTGTAGGTTAAATACCTTGCATAAAATGCGGGTACAGCGAACGCTGATGTGTGAGGAAATGATTCCGTCTTTCGCACCGAGCCGAATCATTTATGATAGATTGGTTTTACCAGGGTAAAAACCGAAGGTCCCAACCATTAAGGCTGAGATGTTGACGGATAGTTGGGGAGAGAGTATGAGAAATAGATTGGACAATAAATGAAGTAGACTGGAACACGGTAAGAAAAGCATCGATGATGTCATCGAAACAATAGAAGAGAAGGCAAGAGAAACAGCAGTAGTGAGCTGTGAACGTGTTGTCGAAGACAACTTGGGAAAACTGCAAGACGCAGTGATCATTGTAGTAAAGATCAGTCCATCATTTAAGGCTAGAATGACCAAACGTGTGTCACCAAGATGATGAGAGACAACGGTGCTATATGGTAGAGTAAGAGATGGCAAGAGAGGACAACAATGTAGTACGTAAAAAATAATCATACTTCGGGTATTATTTTTGGGTTAGGATTATTTTTGGGTTTGACGGTCGAAGAAGACGGGAGATCATATCGGAGTCTATCGTCGTGACTACGCTTGATCGAGGAAATCTCTGTATAATCTATTGGTGCAATCACACAATCAGATGAGATAGATATGATATTGGGGGATGCGAAGCCCAGCTCAATCTGGATATCATGAAACTGGAGCAACAGGTGCCCCAGGAAGTATTTGGCACCTGAACCAGAAATAATGCATACTGAATAATAAACCTTGTAGCCCGCCGTGTTTACGCCTCCTTTGGGTTTCGATTTTCGTGGACAAACCCACCTTGCAATTCCCCGACAAACACTACAAGACCGACCGATCCTCCAGTGAGACGAAAAGACGCCAGATTCAGCCTTCGGGCCGGTGGCTCGAGACAGAAGAAGAAAATCATGCTTGTCTGAGAAACAAGGAAGTTGAGGACGTTGTGTTCCGGCTCTAGGGTTAGGGTAAGGGTTAGGGTTTCGACAACTAAGGAGACGAATCAAAACTGCAGCCTTCACTTGTGCACACTTGGCTTGTCAAGTCGCGTTCCAAGTTGGCGCTGGAGCTCGGAGCGAATCGTCTAGGCTCACTCTAGGTTGTCAGACTCACGCATGCGTGACAATTTTCTCCCTGCCCTTGGTTGTTCGTTCTTCTGCTGTTCAGGACCCTGAGGCTCTCACCAACAACCACGCCCGCCAGACTTACGGCGACCTCTCGGGGGCGTGGCAACAGAGGCAAATCGGGTGCCCCGGGACTGCCAGCAGCGACACCCCCCCACGTGCCGCTCGCGAGCAACCCCAAGATGGTTGAGTTGAACGGCCGGGTCACCACCCACACCGAGCATCACGTATGATGAGATCGACAGCGACGAGATATACGACACACACTCACGGTTCGTTGCTGCATGACAGATTCGTCCTTGGGAGACATCGACGATTTTGTTGCTCAAGCAATATGTGCGAGTGATCATTACCGTAGATTCGAGGAGAAGAATAAAGCAGACCCCAGGTTGTTTTGTCGGGGTCCATCAGAAGAGTGGCACCACAAGATCGGGCCTATGCTCCGTGAGAGATGTTGTGGACAAAAACAGATGCAACGAGATGAACTCCAGGGGGGGGCATGATCATCAGGGACGTCGACTTCGGGCGGTCTTAACGTGACCCCGCAGCAAATACCTCATGGATGCGCTTGCTGCTGACCGGGCTGAACGGGGTGGTGGGGAAAAGGGAGTCAGGGGGAACGGGGTTGACGTACAACGGCCATCTCTCAGCCGACGACGATTTACGATCAATGACCGGTTTCCGACATTTGGGCCACCATTTGAGTGGCGTACGGAAACACATATTCCCCGATGGGTATCGAACGGCCAGCCTCTGTAAGGCCTCGAGGAAACCGGTGGTCAGCATGTATATGTTGTTGCGACAGTTAGGAGTAGAACCCGTTACAGTAATATTCAGGATCACAAGTGGCCCTGATTTTGTCGAACGTTGCCGTATCGTCAAACAACGTATGGTACAGCTTCTTCAGACATCAAAACTGCTCAACGCATGAATTCCGTTGCCAACAAACGCAGGAAGGATTTGAGAAGAGTACACCCCGTTCCCGGAAAAGTGCATACCTATTGTCAACCGGCTATATGCTATGTAGTGCAGAGCGGAGGAAGGGTAAAAAAAAAAAGGTGCCAGGTACAGGCGGTAGCCACGGGGGCAGGTCCCCACATGAATGTGGAAATGAAGGACCCGACAACGAGACACAAGAATGGGTGCCAATGCATGGGTCCTTGTTCCAGAGCGTGGCCTCGTGGAGGCAGTTTTTGTTCGACTGGAGAAGTCTTTCCTGCAGCAGACGGGTCCTGACTACTCTCCCGTACCTAAGGAGCAGAAAACAGTGGGTATAAACAGTGGGTATCACCGTCCAATCCCGATGATCGATGGCGTTGGTGCAGTCAGCACGTGAAAGGCAGCAGAGGAAACCAAAGGCAGCGGTGGCGACACTAGTGCGGCGCGGGCGGTCTGGGACAGCGAAAGCCGCGAAGAGTCAAAGAGAAGGAGAACCATGTGTGGAACAGGCCTTGTTTTACGGCATAGATGCTCCTTCCGTACGCAGCTCGAGACGACGAGGTGTGCTGGGGTGAAACACTCGAAGTCGTACTTCCCGTTCGCCCATACCGCAAAGTTGCTACCGGGGTCGTGAGGGCGGCATGTCCAGGACCAGCAAACTATAAAGCGGGAGGCAGAGAGACGGAACGGGAAGTCATGGGTGATTGCAGGAGAACGCCGAGTATCCGAAGAAGAACGTTCACGGAAATCTTGAAAATATCCAAAAGGGCGCACGGTCGATGCTGTTGACGGTGATAACGGCGGACCACCGCCATCGGCATGCCATTTCCTACCCTTCCAGACCCGTTTATCGAGGCGGAAAAATCAGTTTTCATGGCCGAATTAGCAGCTGCTCAACTACATATGTAGGTGATCAATCAGGTGCCGCTATCCTCTCAACCCCATTGACGATTTCTTTTCTCGCTGCATATTTTAGTCTAGTCGCGAGGACCAATACTCCGTCTTGCTGTGTCATTGAGAAGGGATTTTCTCCTCCGCTCAGGTTTTAACGCTTCGCTATTTTACTCGTACACTTCAAACAAAACCGTTGACACAGACGCATTGTTGTTGTTGTTGTAGCGACCGGACGGGGCGCGGGCGCCGTGCTTCTCATCATTGTTCGTAATATCGGCATCCACCGAAACGTTTCCGATGTATCAGACTTGATATTCGGTGTGGGTGGTGGCCCGGTGGTCGTTTATCTCAACCATCTCGGGGCTGGTCGCGATCGGCACGGGGGGGATGTTGCTGCTGGTCACCCCGGGGCGGTCCATCTGCTTCTTCTGCCACTCTCTTGAGAGATCGTCGTACGTCTGGCTGCCATGGTTGTTGGCGAGCGCCTCAGGGTCCTGAGCAGCGGAACGAGCAAACCAAGGACGGCGCATAAACAACCACGTGGCGTCAGTCAGACCCCGATTTATGGGAACGAAATCTTGTCGATAAATCTTGATCTTGGCCAAGATCTGCCAGTTTCACGATTTATGGGAGCGAAATCTTCCGATTTATCTAGGCCAAGATTTCTCGAAGCCCGAAATCTGCCCTTTCGAACAAATCTTGACCCAAGATCTATCGAAACGAGCCTTCCGACAAATCTTGAGGCGGCGTAACAAATCTTGCCTGGGTGCGGGGCGATCACCGTAGGTCAGTCAACCTAATCGTCCATAACGCCATGAAATCTGCACGTGGCACACTCGCAAGGGTCTCTAACGCACCCTGGCGTCACTACTGTTTCGGCACCACGGGCGCCGACGGCGAACGAAAACGACCAAGGCGCGCGAAAAAAATGCGTATTTGCCCTCTGGCCCTCTGGCTCGTTCCACGTGCATCATCACCAGTCTGTCGAGGGACCGTTCAAAGAGTACTTTATTTTGAAGTAGAAAAATAGAGGAGGACGAACGTTTTGCCAACACAGCTCTATCGTGTGCGACGCTTCTATCTCTTCATCGAATCACCCCACACCCAATCCGTTTGCATCCGAGCCAGATCCGTGAGTGCAGATGACAGCGCCGGAGGTTTGATCTCGGTACGCCTGCTACATAGTGAGATACGTGCACGGGTGTCATCGGCTTCGGGTTGATGTACTTTCTTGTCAGTTGGACAACAATGGAACAACTTTGTTTCTCCGCTTGACATGAGCTCGTGGGCAACGGCTTCTATTTTGCACCCCAGGTAGGCGCCCATCGCTAGTATTCACCCATAGTGTTGAGGCACTACAGCTGGGGGAGGGACGGCCCTTCTACAACTGCGTCATGCTCGCTTTTCGCCACACCGTGGCATTTTCTGTGGCCCAAGAGCCGTTGTGCCTTTATCAACTTCAAGCAGAAGAGAGGCACAACACGCCGCTTTTTCAACATTCAACATATTTCCCCCATAACTCGCGATACTGCAAATCTTGGCGGAGATAGATTATGAGCCAATCTTGGGGTCAAAATGCCAAGATTTATTTGCAAGATTATGTTTCCATAAAGAAGGGTCTAAAACGTTGGGCTTCGAATCTTTCAAGATTGGAAACAACGACTTGTGGCGGTATATATATTGTGCAGTCCCACTTGAAGCGAAAGCGAGAGGGAGAAGCACAATGAAAGCACGGTTGCCGCCACTATTCACAGTAACTTTCATGAGAGCAAGTGAAATATTTTCACGCGGGTGATTGACACTGACGTACGCACATGGTCTTACAGCCCAAAGACATTTCCTGAGGTTCTGGGGAAGGATTCACAAATCAGTACATATAGGTGCAAACCTTTATCCCCCACCTGTACAAAGCAGACAAAGACGGCAATTTTGCCGGCGCACAAGACGGATATGGGGGTCGAGAAGCACACCGCCTCCCCCACCAAGACAACCGCCACGACCTCGACCATGTTGGAGCCGTTGAACAGGGCGGCGGCCGTCAACTTCACCAGGATATCGCGCACCACGATGTAGGAAGTTATCAGGGCCATGGAGAGGATTAACAGCCCGAGCTTGCCAATGCGATTATGAGCGTTCATAGTTATCCCGCGCGTCTGAAAAAACATCTCGTGCCCCCGCCGAAGGGCTGCTCGCAAAAGAAAAGTTCCGGCATCGGGACAGACGGACAGACGCTCCGGTCATTGCCTAGAGAGTGCACAGATATTTGTTACTGAATACCAGGCATCACTCATACCTCGTTGTTCATGGCTGGTTGTATGGGGAAGAGGCGCAGGCCAGACGAGTGAAGTGCGGATTTACAGCGCATGAGCCACCCTTCACGCGGCAATCATGAGACCATTAGCAACCGAAATCGAATCATTAGATCAGTCAATACTGTCTGGTTCGCTGAAGGTCTCAAGCCTGTTCGGAAAGATGAACGGGTGTCGCCTTGGCTCCCCGCACCGTGCAGCGCTCCGTCAGCAAAAGAAAGCCAACTATCTAAAGCCACGGGGGCCTGGGAGAGACTTGGCCCTGAGCCTCAGAGATGGCTCATAACCCAAGTGTTCTGTGCTCCACGTGGGACGACACTCCGAACCACGAGTGTGAGCCGGGTTGCGCCCATGGGCAGGCGATGGGATACCCATGGGCTGCCCACGGGCAGATTGGGTGCGGCGCCGCACCTTCCGAGAAGTCCAACCCGTACATGCCGATGAAGCAGATGGCGTAGATGTAAGCGTGGCAGACGGCCCCTAGATTCCTACGGTACGTTCGCGTCGTCATTGTAAGTCACGGCTTAGCATCCCAGATGCGCAGTACAGATACATACAGCTTCCCTTATTTCTCCTGTTGTGTTGAAACAAACGGGCATTGCGAAGTTATTTCTTGTAATCGAGTGTTTGCTACTTGCACACACGATGAGGAATGTTGATGTAAAGGTTTAATTGTCAATAACCGGGATACACAAGGGAGTCGACGAAGAAATTACTGCTCACCTGCTGAAGGACATCCAGTTTCTGCTTGAAAACACGTGCGCAGAGTTTGGCCCGGTCGAATTTGATATCCGGACACTCCTGTGTTGATAGCAATAAAGGAGTTGAGTAAAGCGATATTTGTCATGGAGACACAGAATGGTGTAGGGGAAGAAATTACGTGTAATACATGGGCAAGATGAAAAATAAATATGTATACAAAAAATCGAAGTCCACCCACAGTGTTGCATGTGGCTGTAGCGAATAATGACGGCGGCCCGAAGTGCCATCGGTTCCGTGAGTTTTTTCGCATGATCTGCAAATCCACCATTGCAGCTGGACTCTATCGACTGGGGCAGGTGTAGTCCCGAGGGACCTTGGTATCCGTGGCACCGCCGAATTGCGGTGTAATAACGTGTGGTACTTGTCTCGGTTATGTGCATCAAAGGTGAGTCGTTGATCCTCAATGCAGCTGAACACGTCGATGAGGAATTCGTTCACTAAGGGGTCCAGTTGTTGAAACCGGGGTTCCCGTACCAACAATTGTGTTGCCCATTGTGCGAGCGCGATTTTATTCCCAGCTGTGCTTTTCATGGCAACGTGCCAGCCGGATGCCCCGCCGTGTGGGAAATGCAATGGGAACGTTACCCGAAAGTAGTCGTTGTCGTAAGCGGAGATGACGTTTCTCCACGGTAAGCGTCCTGGTCACTGCTGCTCTGTCCCGTGGCATGACACCTCTCGCGCATGTGTCGACAGCCATTCTTTCCGCAAATGGAACTCCAGGTGACAAAACGCCAAGGAGTTGGATATTGCTCTGGATCGAGTCCTACGGCGATAGGCGTAGAAAGAGAAGACATGTTTTTTCGAATTTTTGCGAGGTTTGTTTTACAAATAAGTGTATTGCAACGCGGACATAGCTTTCGTCTGGGGTGGTGTTAAATGAAACAGATATTGATGAGACATATGGAAGTGTGTGGTATCCATAGGAAGGAAGTAAAACATGTAACTGCGTTTGTACACGCCGCACTCGCCGGTCGTTCATTGCAGCCTTAAGGCGGCCAATGTACGGCGAAACCTGTTGTAAAGCCGTCCGTATGTTCGTCATGATGGCTTCGTCGAGGAAGTTAGTTGTAGTTGGGGTCGTGCAGTAGCCACTGAACATTCGAATGCGAGTTTTCCCTCACTGAGTGGTAAGTCCTGCAATTTACACGGGGATGGAAAGGAGAGTCGGTAAATAACTAAAAATAATCAATTCTTTGCAGAGACGTTGTTGGTTGCAAGGCGAAATGCGCTGTGTATTGACATACAAAACGTTAACATGTTTAAAATGTACCGTAGTAAATTATACACTATTTAATAATGTAAAGTAGAAATATTGCACGGTAACTCACCGTCCTTGGACGGACAACAGATGATCGCCAAACATCCGTTTTAGTTCTCCGCCTTCGACATTGATTGACGCGAAGTTGGAACGGCACTTGTACGCCCGGGATTCTTCGCGGATTTTGTGTGCGGATGAATGATCGGATGTGCAGAGGTCTTGGAGAATGGGTAACAGGGGTGTGGTAGTCGGGGTCTCCCACATTTTCTACAGTTTCACAAACGGCCCATGGGGCACCCATGGGGCACCCATGGGGCGTTTGTTGCCCATGGGTGACCCATGGGTGCCCCATGGGCCGTTTGTGAAACTGTAGAAAATGTGGGAGAGCTCGACTACCACACCACTGTTACGCATTCTCCAAGACCTCTGCACATGCGATCATTCATCCGCACACAAAATCCGCGAAGAATCCCGGGCGTACAAGTGCCGTT